ATGAGGCCATCGGCAAAGCCATTTGATCCTATTGCCGGTAATGCAACCAGCTGCTTCCTTGATCTGCCTCACGACATCCTTATCAATGGCTTCCAACACTGCCATGGCATTACTGGACAGTTGAATCGGACAACGACCCCTACCCTCACCTCTCACCTGCACTCGAGTCTTTCATGTGATCTAATACATTGAGGGTGATGACTACAAGAACTGAGGTACTGAAGAGAAGCCATTAACTAAGAACAGAGTTTTCTCTGATGTATGGTCTTGTGTTTGTTATACATTGGACCAGATCCCATCCGCCCCAACTAAAATATCACCTTCATATTGCCGTTCATCTTCAAGGATCACTGTAACCTACAAAACATTAGAAGAGATCTAAACTTGATATCTATCAACTCAATTATAATTTACAGTTACATATAAATTTACAGTTCAAATTTGAAACTCAATCCAAAGTTAAGGTGTAATGCACCGTTTGTTAACGCATTTGTGCAAGTCATCTGATACCTTTTTGTTTATTTAAGAGCTCAATGTGCGAGTCCCCATGAGGGAGTTTGTAAAAAAAGCTTGTATCCTACAGGATTGAGCAGCGGCGGATCCCCCCACTGCTATTTTAAAAATATTTGGGGACTAAGTATAATTTTAAAAAATTTAGAATTTATTATAGATTTGCCCTCACTGAATTTTTTTTAAAAGATTTAAGGGTAGTTATGTTATTTTGACAAATATATGAGTCTCACTTATAAATATTAATGGAAGATCATATAAAAAATTTGGGCATTTAAAGATTAACTAATATGTTACAAAATAAGTTAGCCCTCTCATTTGTTTTATGTTTATACATTGAACTAAATTTAGGGCTTGTAGTCTTCTTCTTTGTTTTATGTTTATATGTTAGAATTGAAAATTATAGTTTATAATTCTCTTTTGTGGTTTATTTTTTAAAAGTTGAATTGAAATTAGCGTTTGTAGCTCTCTGTTGTATTTTTTTTGTTACATGTTGAATTGGAAATATGAAATTAGGGTTTGTAATCATCTCTTATGTTTTATTTTTTATGTATTGAATTGAAACTATGATTTGTAGTCTTGTATTTATTTTTCTATGTTCAAATAAAATTGGGGTTTGTAGTTCTCTTCTATGATTTATTTTTTTATATATTTAATTGATATTTGGGTTTGTAGTCCTCTCTAGTATTTTATTTTTATATGTTGAATTGGAATTATGACTTATAGTCCCCTCATTTGTTTTATTTTTATTTGTAGAATTGGAATTGGGACTTGTAGTCTTTCATTATAATTAGACTAAATTATTTTGATTTGATAGTTTGAATAGTTTTGTTGTGATAAGTTAAGTACTTCATATACCTAGGTTTAGTTTATTCAAATAATTATAGTTTAAGTTAGTTTCAATTGTTTGTTAAAATTTAATGATGAATATTAAGTTTGTGATTGAACAAATTAATTTTTGAATTAGTTATGAAAATTTATCTTAAAATTTAATATATGATTGAACGCAATTTTGCGGTTCAAAATATTTTTGTGAGGTCTTATAGATAAATCTATAATGAGTTTTTTTTGTTAGCTCATTTTGTATATCGCTCATGTATATGAATTGAGTTTTTAATTGGTATTTTATTAATAAAATTATACTTTGTGAATATTTTAAATTTTAATATTAATATAATTTAGATTGCTCCCACTAGAGAAGATGTCTGACTCCGCCCCTGGGATTGAGTCGGACTTCCCCAACATTTGTTTATATGCTTAACATTTATTTTGAGGGGTGAATTGTGCTTTACACTTCAAAAAAATTTTAAAAAATTATTGTGTACTTAAAAATTAGATTTTTCACATTGTACCCTTAATGTATTAAAATTATTGCAATATAACTCTTCTGTTAATTTTCATTATTCATACCATCAACGTCGTAGTATCCATTATATGTTGGAAGGTGATGTCAATGCTCGCCATTTAATCCACACAATGTAATAGCGATGGATGCACTAACAGGATCTCCTACACACATTTTATTTTTCCTATTTGAGATGCAATATGCAAGACAGTATTTTGGTTTAGAGTCACTTCAACCCTAGCTTTGTCCTTGATTTGCATTAGAATATCAATGTTACCGAATTCAACAGCAATGTACAATGCAAGATCTATCTTGCCCGTTCAACTACTATGAATGAGTAATTTGTTGGGAGTCGTCGAGTAATGTTACAAAAAAGAATTGAATTGACAAAACAAACGAACCAAAACATACATAACATTATATAAACATATAGTACCAATTCTTATCATTGGAAAATCCATGGCTAATGAGGTTGAATACACTGGTAGTGAGGTTGATGTAAACTTGGTAGTGAGGTTGATGCAATACAAGTTCCAACCAGTAGCATTGTCATTGTCTATGAATTATGAATTGTTCTAACATACTTGTCACAATTATTTCTTATTTTTTCATAGGGATAGAGCGAGAAATTTTAAAAATCAAGCCAATATTAAATGTGTTTCTTGGGGTCAGGGGTGGAGCCAAAATATTTTTTTAGTGGGAGTAACTTATTACTTATTCATAAGTTAAAATCATAATGAAAATCAATCAATCGAAATAATTTATTGTTAAATATAGTTTATTATAGACAAATTTCAAAAATAACAATCTAATTTTCGAGAAAGTAAAAATTAAGAAACCAATTATCTAGAGATTATTGACTAAGAGAGAAAATTTAAGAGAACAGTTAAATGACAATCATCAAACCCGTCGTGATTTTGTAAATGAATTTTGAGTGATAATAATTGGTGACTTAGTGTGTAATGAAGAATTAGAATTAGAGATAAAGGAAGATCTGAAGAGATAGTGACAATATTAAATCGTATTCTCTTACAAATTTGTACAATGCAGGTACACTATAGTAACTTAATTACTGATTTCTAAGACTAAAGAATTTGAACTAGTTTACAATTCAAATTAGAGATTACTATAACAACTATTAATCCTAGGATCGTGCCTCTCATTTTCATTAGCCGAAGACTCTGGCTGACCAAAACAATCTCTTCCAACACCGTGGAATATTATAATTCCTTCTAAAAACTTGGATGCTAAAGGTTAGATGCTATAAATGGCAATCAACGTTCGCCTGATGCATGAGTTCTCGATCAAGAAGGCCACGAAAGACCATGGTTATTTTCTTGTGCAACATTCTACACTTGAAATTTTATAGGGATACAATATAGCAGTTGTACCACCTGGGCCACCATAAGCTGGGGATTTGCATGTTTTCAAGATCACCTCCACCAACTCAAGAAATCTTCATTCAACAGCAACATAAAGTAAAGTCTCCCTATTATTATTGGCAGCATATGAACACACTGGATCTTCCTTTGTTAAAAACTCTACCACATCAAACCAATTATATCAAACAACTTCGTGCAAGGGTGTGTTTCCATCCTCATTTGTTAACCTTAGCATCTCCTTGGCTGCGCCAACTCCACCTTCAAGCTCTGATGCATCAAGTGATGTTGCACAACAGACGAGTTCTAGAACTACGTCGTAGTGTCCATTCTATGCTGGAAGATGATGTCAATCCTCGCCATTTAATTCACGCAATGTAATAGCGATGGATGCACTGACAGGATCTCCTAAACACATTCTATTTTTCCTATTTGGGATGCAATATGCAACACAATATTTTGGTTTAGAGTAACTTCAACCCCAGTTTTGTCCTTGATTTGCATTAGAACATCAATGTTACCGGATTCGGCAGCAATGTATAATGCATGATCTATCTTACCCGTTCAACTACTATGAAGGAACAATCTTTTGGGAGTCGTGGAGTGATGTTACAAAAAAGAATTGAATGGACAAGACAAACGAACCAAAACACACATAACATTATATAGGCATAAAGTAGCAATTATTATCATTGGAAAATCCATGTCTAATGAGGTTGAGTACACTGGTAGTGAGGTTGATGTACACTTGGTAGTGAGGTTGATGCAATACAAATTTCAACCGGTAGCATTGTCATTGTCTATGGATTATGAATTGTTCTAACATACTTGTCACAACTATTTCTTATTTTGTCATAGGGAGAGAGCGAGAAATTTTAAAAATCAAGCCAATATTAAATGTGTTTCTTGGGATCAAGGGTGGAGCCAAAATATTTTTTTAGTGAGAGTAACTTATTACTTATTCATAAGTTAAAATCATAATGAAAATCAGTCAATCGAAATAATTTATTGTGAAATATAGTTTATTATAGACAAATTTCAAATATCACAATCTAATTTTCGAGAAAGTAAAAATTAATAATCCAATTATCTTGAAAGCATTGACTAAAAGAGAAAATTTAAGAGAACAGTTAAATGACAATCATCAAACTCGTCGTGATTTTGTAAATGAATTTTGAGTGATAATAATTGGTGACTTAGTGTGTAATGAAGAAATAGAATTAGAGATAAAAAAAGATTTGAAGAGATAGTGACAATATTAAATCGTATTGTCTTACAAATTTGTACAATGCAGGTACACTTTATGTAGATGTTTATAGTAACTAAACTACTGATGTCTAAGACTAAAGAATTTGAACTAGTTTATAATTCAAGTTAGAGATTACTATAACAACTGTTAATCCTTGGATCGTGTGTCTCCTTTTCATCAGCCGAAGACTCGGAATGACCATAACAACCTCTTCCAACACCATGGAATATCATAATTCATACTGAAAACTTGGATGCTAAAGGGTTGATACTGCAAGGGTAATCATCATTCACCTGATGGATTAGTTCTTGATCAAGAATGCCACAAAAAATCATGGTTATTTTTTTGTTCAACATGCTACAGTTGAAATTTTATAGGGATACAAAATAGTAGTTGTACCACCTGGGCCACCATAACCTGGTGATTTGCATGTTTTCAAAATCACATCTACCAACTCATGAAATCCCCATTCGGCAGCAACATAAAGTGGAGTCTCCCCATCATTATTGGCAACATATCAATACACTGAATTTTCCTTTGTTAAAAATTCTACCACATCAAACCGATTATATCGAATAGCTTCGTGCAAGGGTGTGTCTCCATCCTCATTTGTTAACCTTAGCATCTCCTTAGTTGCGCCAACTCCACCTTCAAGCTCTGATGCATCAAGTGATGTTGCACAACAGATGAGTTCTAGAACTACGTCGTAGTGTCCATTCTATGCTAGAAGGTGATGTCAATACTCACCACTTAATTCATGCGATGTAATAGCAATGGATGCACTGACAGGATCTTCTACACACATTCTATTTTTCCTAATTGGGATGCAATATGCAAGATAGTATTTTGGATTGCAGTCACTTTAACCCCAATTTTGTCCTTGATTTACATTAGAACATCAATGTTACCGAATTCGGTAGCAATGTACAATGCAAGATCCATCTTGCCCGTTCAACAACTATGAAGGAGCAATCTATTGGGAGTCTTGGAGTGATGTTACAAAAAAGAATTGAATGGACAAGACAAACGAACCAAGACATACATAACATTATATAGGCATAAAGTACTAATTCTTATCATTAGAAAATCCATATCTAATGAGGTTGAGTACACTGCTAGTGAGGTTGATATACACTTGGTAATGAGGTTGGTGCAATACAAATTTCAATCGGATTGCCATTATCTATGGATTATGAATTGTTCTAACATACATGCTATCTTTTATTAGGGTGAGGGTGATATGGTGTCTTTGATAGGTTCTCTGCTGTCTCTCTACTTGAGAGAGTGAAGAGCACAAGGAAGAACATTATAGTTCTTGAATTTTGCTCAGTAATGCCCATACCTTGCCAATGCATAATATGTTATGCTCAATTATATAAAGATTTGACTATTCATATGATTATCAGCTGACATAAAACAAGGGTGCTCAAAAGTAGTAGCTCGCTGAAATTGTCTCTTCAACATTCTTTTTTCGTGTTTCCATGTTGACAACTTACGTACTAAGCTAATAATCCGAACACTAACTATCTTAAGTTTTAAAATTACCATTGGACAATTGCAATGACATATGTAGTAGAATTTCTTGATGGGCTTAAAGTTGATGGTTTAAGTTTGTTAAGATTATTCGTCCCAAATTCTTTGAGAATTTATGCTTGGACATTAAGTGAGCGAGCCAAAACATATGAATCAATCGGTTTCAGTTTTGTTTGACTTAAATTATTTGAAAAGAGCAAGGATAATGTTATGTGAAAGCAAACAAAGACATCCATATGTGGAACCAAAAAACTCTCCGGTCTTAACCAATTTTCACATCTATATGTACTTATTAAACTTTAATATTTTTCTTAAACCAATAGGAACTGATAGAGAGAATTAGAAAATAACACAACGGACGTCAAAATAACCAAAAAGAGAGAAAAACAAACAAATAAAAAAATATGTCGAAGCAAAAGGGATGTTGAACCTTTTAGTTTTCTGTACATGTCCTACCACAACAACGAGAAGAAAGAAGGCAGGTAGACGAAGTGAGATTGACATGATGAGGGTGATTGGTAGTCCTAATATTTGTTATATTCTTTTAACTTCAAGTACTCTTTTCTTAGATTTTGTTGGGTGAAACTTATTATTGATGTAAAATTAATGACTTATGAACATCTATTAATCAGATACACAAATATATTTTAAGACGGTTCATGTGCAACGCACATGTGTACACAAACTAGTCAATTCAATAGCCACAATACATTAAGTCCTTAAATTAAGTTTCAATAGCATTAGTTGTGCAATACATCTTGCCTTTTGCCATTGACAATTTTCCAACAATATGGATAGGGCAATAAGAGTTCTCAAAATACAATATAGTTGTACAATCTTATAATATATTAGAAACTAATATTATGTCCAGAATATTTATACACGATCACTAACTTGAACAAACTCAACTGGCATTCCCATATTTTGATTGATTTTGAAACCTCTACAATATATATTTGTCTTCTATGTAAAAAAAAAAAAAGTGTAATTAAAACCATATTTCCGACAAATAACAAAAAATTCAAAAAAAAAAGATTTAAAAATAGTAATAAATATAAAAAAAAGACCATATTATGGTAAAAAAAGAAAAAAAGCTCTTGCCTAAGGTCAAACAAGAATTTAATATCTAGGACCAAGTCTAAAGCACAATACAAAGGAAACGAGATAGATACGACAAATATAAGACATGTGGCGATTGCAAGGGCAGATGATTGTGCCAAAACTATGTAAGTCGTTGTACTGAATGCAATCATCATTGCTCCAATGGTAGCAGTAACTAGATATATAGTGACAACAATAAACTTTTCGACAATTTCTCAGTCATCAAATAATATCCCCCAAAAGTTGAGAAATATAGCCACACAAGAGAGTAGAAGGGTTATAGCATCTGATATCATAAATGCTTGAAAAATTGGTTTTTGTGATAAAACAGTCATTCCTGCAACTGGGTTTGTAGTGTTACTTTGGTTGTAGCCACCCGACATGGTGAATCCAGCCGCGAACGTTACGGTGACTATGAGTGCAACCACTATTATATTGGTGTCAGATATTTTCCTTATCTATGCTAGTCTTTCCTTCTTTCTTGCTCGTCTTTCCTTCTTTTCTACCAGTATTTCCTTCTCTGCAGCTTTCCGATCTTTCTTTGTGATGGTTATCTTTCTCTCGTCCTGACTTCTGCTCATTTCTTTCCGCCAACTCCATGTAGCACCTGCGTTTATAAGTGCGTCCTGATAGAATTACATATTACACAAAAAACAAACACATCAACCGTGCTGATTTATATATTTGGCAGGACAAAGCACCAATGTTTTTTATTACTTTTCCTCCATAATGATGTAAGGTTGTTATGAATCAAATGAATTATACACCATTTCTTATCAAAATTAAAAAAAAAAAAAAAAAAAAAAAAAAAAAAAAAAAAACAAAGACCTAAGGACCTTTCTAGTATATTAAAGTGGGTCAATATAGATAGGAGTCGTGGGACACTCTTGTCCCATGAAAATTAAGAAAAAGGGCTAGAACCACAATGTTGTGGGAGGACATCTATGCAGTTGTAGCAAAATGATATACCGTAATCCCTCGATCATTAATGATTAAATCCTCCTTTTTTTTATTTGGATAATATAAACTTTATTTTGGGATCTAATTAGGAACTTAATTCAATGCAGTCATATTTAGTTGTGAGTTTTAAAGTTAAATAAAATTCACTTTCAATCCAATTTTGGAACCATTTGATTAGTTGTGAATTAGGTCCCAAGATTAGGTCTTCATATTAGATCCAAGCAGCATATTCCAATGTATAGATTTTGTTCTCTCAACTTCTAATTATGTGATTTTAGTTCTAAAAATTTTTTAAAAATAATTATTTTGATAAAATTGAGCAATAGGACCATTTAAAATAGTTCAAAAATTTTAATAACTATAACGATAAAATTAAAAAATTCAGTTACAAAAGTGAGCCTGAATGCATACTTCGAAGAGCAAGGACATGAATTTACCCTTGTTGTTTTTAGTCTTATAATGGCAGGTCATGATTGCTCACTCCTTAAACATATATAAAATGAAAAAAGTCAGGCATCCTTACCTCTACATCTCTGCCATAATTAGGTACCATGTCCAACGGAGTCAAGTTTTTGTTGTTTAAGGCGTTCTTAGCCACCATATCATGATGTATGATTCCATCCACTAAGCAGTTAGAAGCAGCCATCAAATGGAAAGGTGCGTTGCCATCAACGTCTTTCTCCGTTATAAGAGTGTTGATTCCTCTGTTGTTTTCTATGATGTATTTAGCTGTGTACTTCCTGTCATGCTCCAATGCAATGTGAAGTATATTTTGTCTTTTACCATTCACAATTTTCCAACAATCAGGAGTGTGTAATTTGACCTCTTCAAATATACAATTTTTACCTGTCATAGCTGCTAGGTGAAGAGTTGTATTCTTGTCATTATCTATAACATAAGCGACAGAATTATCCTCATCTAATAGCTGGGATGCAATATTATACCACCTGGCTAACCGTGCTGCATAATGAAGTGGAGTTTGCTCATTGTCAGCTGTTTTTTTAACTAAAGATTTGTTCCAATCCATTACATTCATTTCAAGTCACCCGTTAATTTCAGTGTACTCAACCTAATTAGCCATGGATATTCCTATGAATAGGTACTTTGTGTCTATATAATGTTATGTATGTCTTGGTTGGTTTGCTTTGTCTATTCAATTCTTTTTCGTAACATTACTCCATGTGTCCCAACAGATTTCTCCTTTATAGTAGTTGAACAGGCAAGATGGATCATGCATTATACATTGCTGCCGAATTTGGATATTGATGTTCTAATGCAAAACAAGGACAAAATCGGCGTTAAAGCGACTCCAAACCGTAATATTGTTCTTCATATTGCATCCCAATTTGGTAATAAAGAATGTGTGCCGGAGATTCTGACAATGCATCAATCGCTATTATGTAGTGTGAATTCAAGTGGCAAGTTTGCACTTCACCTTGCAGCAAAGAATGGACTCTACTTGGTAGTTCTAACACTCATAAGTTGTGCAACATCACTTGATGCATCAGAGCTTGAAAGTGGAGTTGGCGCAGTCAAGGAGATGCTAAGGTTGACAAATGAGGATAGAGACACAGCCTTGTATGAAATTGTTCGATATAATCAGTTTAATGTAGCTGAGTTTTTAACAAAAGAAGATCCAGAATATTCATATGCTACCAATAATGATAGAGAAACTCCACTTTACATTGCTGCCGAAGGGGGATTTCTTGAGTTGGTGAAGTGATCTTGAAAACTTGCAAATCACCAGCTGATGGTGGCCCAGATGGTACAACAGCTTTACATGGGGCAGTAACTCCGAGAATGAAGGTACATAGGATTCCTTGATTATTATTTTTTTTTTTAGCAATGTATATATGGTGATGGAGATAACGATGTTAAAACTCGTGACCATTAAATACAACGATGGGGTGGTGGCTATTAGTTTCAACTACAAGCTACTAATTTCTTAATAAAAAAATTAGATTAATTTTGATTTTCTTTTTTTTTTCTATGACATTTTGCTAGCATGTGTATTATTTATCTTTATTCTCGTCACCTTCTCCAGCAGGTATAAGAAAATTAGTGGAACTCATAATGTGATTTTGTAATGAAGTGAAATGACTAACTCTGTAACAGAAACATGAATTGACGATATCAACCCTTTCTTCTTCCTTCTACTCTTTCAACAATTCAATATCACCACAATAGCCACCGTTGAAACGCAACACACCAACTCACCTCAAACCCTGGCCATCCTACCCCCCCCCCCTGCTGCCTTTCTCCAGCGACGTTTCGATTTGTTCCCGACCATCTCCTGGCAACCTTCCAATCATTCACCAATCATCCGAATCCATTATGACACTATTTGATATGACATAGTCTCACTACTCATATTGTCACAAGACTTCAAGTAAATCATCTTAGTTCTTTGACTCTGCATGCTCTAATCACATGACCCCTGAAGAATCATTATTTTCTTCCACACAATCTCTTGGTTCTATCCCCACCCATTCACACTACAGATGGTTCATATGTGCATGTCAAACATGGTGGACATATATCTATACAACATATGTCACTTCCTCATACTTTTCACATACTTAATCTTACTCTCAATCTCATATCTGTGGGTTAAATTTGTGACATCGGATTCACTGTTTTGTTCTCTTCTACTGGTTGTATTGTCCAAGATCCGCAAATAGTACAGACCCTTGGAATAGGCCGTAAGCATGAACGTTTGTTTAAACCTATCCATCTTCATCTTCCACAACGACTATTTCCTCCGTCCTTCTACTGTTGATATTTGGGGGCCTGCACCAACTGTCACCATGGGAGGATCAAAATGTTTTGTCATTCTTATTGATGACTAAAGCTGTTTCAGTTGGATTTATTTTTTACAAACTCGATCTCAGTTGCCACAAATTTATTATAATTTTGTCAAAATGGTTCAAACTCAATTCTCACAAACCATTAAAGTCTTTTAGATCTGGAAATGCCATGGAATATAGAGACGTCACCTTCATTAATTTTCTCAATCAACATGGCACCATTCCTCGTCGTTCTTCTCCTGACACATCTCAACAAAATAGACATGCTGAGCGCAAACATCGTCATATTCTTGATACCGTTCGTGCTCTCCTCATGTATATTATAGATTGTACCAAAGCATTATACAAATGATATTCGTTTTTTATTCTTTACTTTCACAAAAAGTACAAGTAAAGAAACTTAGAAAGAAATTAAAATCAAGTGTATGAATGATTTTCATGACTAAAACATCTACTATATCCTTCAAAAAATGAGAATAAGAAGGCTGGGATGGAAAGCAAAGCAACGCTCTCCCGCGCCACGCAATTGATCTCTTTCACCCTGTTATCATTGATCTCTTCTTTAATTGGGTGATTCTCAAACTACTCTATTTACCTAATTTGAATATCCTCCTCAATCACTCTCTCCTCTATCACTCGAAGTACTACAACCTTACACTCCTACGACCACACCTTGGCTTTCCAGGGATGGTTGCAAAGGAAGACCCTACCAACATTCTCATCTTTTTTCTAGGTAAGTTTGATTTTTTGCTGCCGAGTTCTTTCTGGGTTTTTTCCAGGAGTATCGTTTCATAGAGAGAGGGATATAAGGGGTTTTTAATCATTGTGAAAAAAAAATTTGGAGGGAATCAACACCCAATCACATAGACATTGACTGCGTGAACTATTCTTTGCAATTGAACATTATAGAGGTAAAGTAAAATCACACCAAAACACAAGCAGGTAAAAAGTAACTAACCCTTGCAAAAAATTTGCCCACAATTTTAATATTTAATTTTGCCATGTAAAAGTGACAGAAATTACTTTATGAACAGAGATTTTTTTTTTTTTCTTGGTAAGGCTAAAATAAGCTACAGCAACAAACATTATAAGAACAAAAAAAAATTTAATTTCAAGCCTTCAAAGTCATCTTAAGCAACTTCAACCGGAGGGAAAGGAAGAGAGTGATGTTTTGAAATCCTTAACTAGTAATCATTGAGAAATCAAATACGCAACCTTAACCCACACACGAATAGACTGTTTCTCTTCTCTTTTGCCCTAAGTTGCAAATTGAAGGAACTTCAATCGTAGACGATGACATGATATGCCACTACATCTGCTCACAGCAGTTTTGTCGTAATCGTAGTCGTAGATACTCGAAAAATAAAAGGAAAACCAAGACAAAGAAACACATCATAATGCACTTGTAAACAAGAACTTTTTACATGATCACAGCAATGCCTACTCAAATAATTTTACACAAATATCAACCTATTAATTAAATAAGATGTCAGCTCTGCTACCAATCAGCCCTGCTGTATGTGAACAAAGGCCTACATTAACTCAATGCTGGGGAAAGCATGATTTGAAACCGATTTTATACAACAAAACCCCTACAATCCAGTGTGACATTCAACACCTTACCACTCATCAGAAGACATCGTGCCGTTTGAATATCAACACCATCTCCCCATCCTTTAGAAAAAGTTAGCTAATCTAGTTAACACCCATCACAAAATCGCCTCATCATTCTCGGTCCAGTGGTTGCCCATGCAAGAAATGGCCACCTTCATCTGTATCAAAGCAGAGTAATTACCAGAATTAGAAATAAATTATTTGAAAAGGTAGTTGCAGGTAAAACTTCCATATGGCCTAAATGTGCCTGTATCAGCTGGCATGTATAAGCCTAAATCATCAACCAATACAATAAAATTTGGGTCCAGTGTCCACACTCAAATTAGTAGCTAAAAGGACCTTCATCAGGTGTAAAAAGTATGAAAAAAGAACTTTCGTCTTCTGTAGCTTGAAAAACGCACATATCCTAGCATTTCAACAATATAGTTTTTAGGAATTCCCTAAAATGACACATTAATTTCTGACAAGCTACAAATTTTGAGACACGGAATATTAATCCAAATAATTAAGTTTTGCTTGAGACACCCAAACAGGCATTGAAAAATTTGAGCCAATTATATATGGTTGACATGGGACACCAACCCTTTGAAGAATTAATGTATGCATTGCTTAACAGAGAATAAAAAAGGTTTTGTGCAGAATTGTACCACTTTCCCCATCAGAAATATCGGCAAGCCTAGCAATGGCATCAGTGAGTGCTTGTTCATGCTCCTGCACCACAAAAACCCTTAAACCTTGTCCTGCAAGCTGATGACAATGTAAGCACAATATACCAAACTGCATGGTTGTTTTTTCTGACCTTCAGTACTTTCTTTGCTTTTTCAATTTCCACAGGGTCCAGAAGACCAGCACTAAAGACCTTCTCCACCTGTCCAAGTTCACAAGACAATGAGAAACTATAAGAAAACAAGAATTTAGAGATACTTGCATCCACCAAGTTGCTCTCCATTACCTCCTTAAGTAGAGTATCTGTATGAAGTAACTGAATCTCATCCGAACCCTTCTTCCCTATGCCATTTTGTGATGGAGGAAAATCCTTTCTGGATTGACCTTTTGACACCCCCCTACCTCTTCCTGCAGCTGGAATACTATCACGCCCGATGGATCTATTCATCGCATGACCTGATCTACCATAACCTCCTTGATGAGAGATTCCAGGCTCTTCACCTTCCCATTGTATGTCTTCAGGAGAGATCTGACACACGAACAAAGGAATTAATAAAAAATATAACAAGCACCAAGCCTTGATCCAAGAAATAACACAGGAGCAAAACGGTCGATTGAACATAAAAATACAGAAAGGGAGTGAATTGCAATGTAATGCAAATTTTAAAAGCTGACCCCTGGCAGCAAGTAGTCAGATATAGCATCAAATTGGTAAATCCCTTTTTTTGGCTCTTTTAGTACTCCAGGCATGACTGACGATATGGGATAAATGTGAGCAGCTACCACTATTTGGGGTAATGAATATGGAGCATCTTGGTCATGGTCATTAGAGATAATAAGTAATGCTTTCTGAATAAAGCAGGTGAGGACATTCATGGCTTCATCATTTTAAACACCCATGATATGATCATATGGTTAGATAGTTCACGAAATTCCACCACAAAATCCCACGGACTATACCTTACATTTAACGTTATCAATTTCAACACATCATTATCACTTTGTCTATTCTGCAAGAGAATGCAGATGCACATCAAACCGTCGAATGAAAATAGTACCACTTGATCTAAAGTTGGGCTCGCTGTTTTATTTAATCAGATACATCTAGAAGACTTTGAGATTGATGGTTTTATGTTGACGTCTATTGCTAGATTACTGACTCAAGTGGGAGTGGGATGGCCTTCAGATGCCTGTTTTGACCAGGTCAAATACGAGCAGTGGTCAGAGAGCATTAGTTGAGGAAGGGAAATAATATAGATGAGCAAGTTGTTCAATATGCCAAAAGGCAGTAGCAAGGGCTCAAATACATGGTCATTTTTGTGCTTAATATAATTAAAATACTTAAATTTCACTAGTGTTCCATAACTGACAAACCATGCACTAGAGAATTACTTCAATATTAAAGCACTAACGTCATGACAAACTTATAACATGTTAAAAATGAATCTACATAGAAATTCATCTACACAAAATCTGAATTCTCCAACACACCCTTCCACTCAAGGGAAAAAAATAAAAATCTTTTTCTTTTATAGATAAAAGAGAAAAACTTTTACATAAACACTAATTAAAATATAGGAGCTTTGGCCTGTGAATCAAGAATTTTGGAATAATCATTCCTGAACTTTGGTAATAATGTTTAAACAAGTAGATTTAAGTTAGAGCACTATGATTGTGTCATAACAGAACACCATGTTTCATTCACGGGCATAGCACTTAATATCGTAGTCACTAGCCAAAACAGTCTAACAACTGGGAACATCAAAAATGTCATGGAAACTCTGCAGCGCATCAGTGCGATTAAAGATGCTGCTATTTTACTCATTGGAAGCCCAGAGTGAGATATACGGGGGGAAGGGTAAATGGAGCGGTACATTAAACCAATGCAACACACAAAATTGTGGATATTTGGTGTGAGACTTTTGGCCCTACAAAGGATTAAGACAAGGGAACCCCCTAATCTCTCTTTACAAAGCACGTTCCTTTGCTCTTTCTTTGGTCTTTGCACGCTGTCTACTTTCTCTGGATCATTCTGATAAACCTTGATTCTTTTCTATATGACAAAACCTCGTCTCAAGAGCTGCCTGCATAATAATCAATTGTTGTTGATTTTTTGTGGATACCTGCTTGAGAGTTTTGGCCATACAGAGAATTAAGACAAGGGAACCTCTTAATCCCTCTTACATATCACCTGTGTTTGGGGTTGTGCCTCCCATATTCCCAGATCTTTATGTCCAAAGAGGAATTATCCAGTTCTACAAATACTTCTAGAATGCTTCCACCGAAAACATTCAAAAAAAACATATTCCAACAATCAGTCAACAAAGCTACCAAACTTTTGTTAATTTCAAGAGAAAACCACCAGGCAAGAATCCAACAGATGCAAGCTATAAGAGTAAATGCTTTCTTTGTTTCCATTCTTTCATCTGTCCATCATTCATGAATCCAGTTCATTGGTGAACCCTGATAGCCAACATTTCTCCATGTAAGAAGTCTATTACAAGGTGTTAACCCTATAAATCTATCCAATATATGTTTTCTTAATCGTTGATTTTGATTTAATCCTTGCCTCTAGAAAGAATGCAAGAAAAGACTAAGAATCCACTTTGAATATGGATGAACTAATAACAAAACTAATATATTATTATTATTACCTTATGCAGCCCAAAGATTGTAAATGGATCAAAAAAATTGATTATCACTTCGGGCTTTCCATCACAACAATTGAATGCAATTAAATTAGACTTTACAAACTCAAAAGGAAATTGCTTCAACCATTTGAGTCCAGTTTTCTCAGACAATCGATTGGTATAAGCATGGTGCAATATTCAATACTTATCACATTATTTACCACCTCATTATAACATTAGATGCACCCCAAAAATGTTGGGACAAGACTTTGTTATGCTGAGTTCAACAATAGATTATTAGATGCATGCCCCCTCACAGCCTATGATCGTAATCATAGTTGTTAGTATTGTACCATACGCGTTACGATACATATGATGCGTTACAATACATGAAGAAAACGATACGTATTGCTTAAGTGTATCAGTTTGCATCGTAACATGCGATACACGATACGATACACCCAATATACCGAATGATACATACGAGTCATCCGACACAAGACAAAACATATCAAAAAAAAATTTCTTTGAATTCATCTTTTTACTTGGAAGTAATTTTTCAAACACTACGTAATAAAACGATGTCGTTTCACCATCTACGTTTTTTATGAAATAAAAGTCTTCTTTTTTATTCATTCCATCGCAGGGGCAAATAGTTTGATTCTTAAAATTGTCCTCCTTTAACTACTTTAGATGTTAGAACTAGCACTCTCTAAATTTTGATATTGATGAATTATGTCAGAAATTTCAATACTTAGATTGTTAATTTTTTTTTTGTTTTGGTCCTTGTAGTCTCTGTAAATTATTTTAAGCAAGAAATTTGTATTGCAATGAAATGTTATTATCAAATTTTGTCATAGGTATATGTATTTTTTAATATCTTTTATAAAATTGCACATATCTTACAATACGCGAAACACTGTTTTTTAAAAACGATATGCCTTTCGATACACTTTTTGACAACTTTGATCGTAATACATTTTGAGTAGACTTTGTGGACTATTTAAAAGGTAATAACTTTCACTCCTCCTAGCAGTAAAGTTTTTTCTCCTAGCACTTCAGAAGGCAAAAATTCTGGAAGATCCAAAAGTAAAAGAGGAGTCTCCTATTTCTAATTAGGGATTCCACATTGCAATTATGATTCCATCTCAAGCACTACTACATAAGCCACCTTTGAACTTTTGCTGGTGGAAGACAAGTTGAATCTAACCAAGTGCCAAATTACTGGAGCAAAATAATAGGATTTGAAAAAAATAGAAGCAGTGAATTATATAGGGATGGCAATAGGCCAGAGTAAAGTTTTTTCTCCTAAAATTTCTGAAGGTAAAAATTCTGGAAGATCCAAAAGTAGAAGAGGAGTCTCCTATTTCTGATTAGGGATTCCACATTTCAATCATGATTCCATCTCAAGCACTACCACATAAGCCATCTTAGAAATTTTGCTAGTGGAAGACAAGTTGAATCTAGCCAAGTGCCAAATTGCTGGAGCAAAATCATAGGATTTGAAAAAAATAGAATATGTGAATTATATAGGGATGGCAATAGGCCAAGGTAAATTGGGAACCTGCCCCACCCAACCCGTAATGGGAAGAGTAAGGGGTCCTAAAATGGGGACGGTGTGGGTTTGGGTTGAGGACAAGTTTATGCTAATTAACCCTGATCCCACCTGACTAAGGTGAAAGTTTGCTAAATTTCCTTTGTTACCATATTAGCATGCCTATATGTTAAACCTACACATTCATTTTTTCTTTCAGGGTTAACTTTCATGGCCTAGTTTCTGCAAACATGCTACCTCATCAAATCCTCTAGTTTTGAGTTCATGCTTTTTCTTTTATGTCTTATTTGTGGGAGAAAGTTGTCATATAGTCATTTACGTATTTATTTTCAGAGCTGATAGGTGAATTTCATTATCCTTGTGTAAAATACAGTTTCATACTTCAAAGATTCTAGAATATAGGAGCACCACAGGAGCACAAACTAACAGAGGGCCAACAGAAAAAGAACAAGGAATTCATGCAGGGATGGTTTGGATTAACCCTACACAAGGCAGGGCATAGAGGGGGACTAGGGATGGGGGTTGACTAAGCAGTGTGAAAAGAGGAAGTAAACCACAACCCACACTCTCCGCATAGCCATTGCTAGTATTCGGTATTTTTTTAGCAATGGAAAGCCATGCTAAATGGGGCCCTCTAAACTCATGGCTGCAATGAAAATTTAAAATGTACGCAATCACCCATAAATCACGTGTATGTGCTAAACCCGAGTTTTATGCAACCAATAAGACTAAAATTTAGGACATGCGGGATTAATCCTCAGACTTTGTTCAACAACTGAACCCATGCAGGTTACTAGTTTCAGATATCCTTACTTTCTTAGAATTATGGGAATTTGATCGCCTCCTGCTACAAACTAAGCAAGATAACTTCCAGCTCAGCTTGAGTTCATTTGCTTGATCCAACAAATCGAGCTGGTCCTTAAGCTAAGCTCATTTCACAAACGGGAAGAGGTCAGGCAACCACTGACTCGGCTTGAATAGGGTCACAAACATACGGATCCTTATTTCGTTCAAAAGATTATAATTAGAGCACTTTCTACTGTCCAGTCTTACGGTCACTCTATTAACCTCTTATGTCTTTATGTATTTATAATATATTATTATATTGAATTCCTTTTCTATCATTTTTTCACAAAATATAAAATATTGCATACATATGCCTTCGCACAGTTGAGCTAGACTAAGCTTGATTATGCCATAAAGTCGAGTCGAACTTAGCTTCGCAAAATTTACACGAGGCCGTTGGTAAGCTCAACTAGAGCACCATAAAAAAAATATTGAACCGAGCTTGAACATGCTAATGCTCCACTTAGCTTGGCTCATCGAGAACCTTACAAGCAAAGTACACAAAATCACAAAGAAATTTTGCCTCTATATTGAATGTGTTTTTCCTTCAAGACACTTGCCACTAAAATTATGAAGGAAAGAAATAAGAGTGAAGATTTTTAGGTCAAATTGACGATTATCACTCATTTAATCAAATGAAAGGAAAACCAAATCACTGCCCTTCAAAACTAATACCTGTGTAACTGATGTACTAGTACTACAAACCCTACTGGGTTTACAAATCTAAGTTTTCAGTATGTTATGATATACAGCCCACAGTTAACCCATTAAGATCTCCAAAATATTGTTTTTTTTTAAATCGATACTCCAACATATTGTTGCCACCATGCTATAAGGGCGCAAAG